AGAGAGATTCTCTGAGATGTTCCTATTGTTAAATAATTCGGATGGGGTAAAATTAAATAACTAACGTTGCAGCAATGTTCGCGGATTACTCTGAGATAGATTTTCCGACTTGGACGAATCAAACGATTTTATTCATTTTATTGACTTTTTTTACTTGTTTCAGAAAAATGTCTGATAAAAAGAAAAAACTAAATACGCTTGATTCTTTTTTTACAAAGAAGCAAAAAATCGGCGAGGACCAATCAAGCAATTTATCAACCTCTACCGCTATCGTTCATGAAAATAACGCTTCCCCATGTTCATCCAGAGATCAAGATAATATAAATCATCATGACATTGCTCACTTTGTACGACATAAGGCTAATATATATTGGAAGCCAATGGAAAATTTTAAATTTCCGGTTTCAAGCAAGAGGAATCTGAAGTTTCAGTATTGTTGGTTTCATCATTGGAATTGGCTAGCATATTCTCAAAAAGAAGATGGTGCCTATTGCAAGTTTTGTGTTTTTTATGCAGAAACACGTGGCGTTGGAAGTCATTCTCTTGGGAAACTTGTAAAGGTACCATTTAATGACTGGAAAGATGCAGTTGAAGCATTTGATAAACACTAAGCCAAAGAGTACCACAAACTTAGCTTGGTGAAATTCAGCCATCAGCAGCTAATTGTAGATCAAAAACAGCAATCTGTCGATCTTCAGATTGATGTAGCATCAAGAAATCAAATTATAGAAAACAGAAAAAAATAGTACCGATAATAAATGCAATTATTCTTTGTGGGAGACAGGGAATTTCTTTAGGGGGGCATGACGTTTCTGGACCTATAGAATCTGCTGATATCCCGATGCACAACGACATAAACTTTAGAGCTATATTACGAACTAAACTTAAATCAGGAGATGAAATGCTGCAACTACACTTACAAAATATGTCGAAGACTGCGATATATCTCAGTCCAACAATTCAAAATGAAATTGTTGTAATTTGTGGGAAAATTATTAGGCATAAAATTATTACTAGATTAAAACAGGCAACATTTTTCTCAGTTCTTGTGGATGAATCTACTGACATATCAGGAATAGAACAGTCCTCTGTATGTGTACGATTTTGTAACAAAGACTCCAGAAAAATTGTAGGATTTGTTCCTGTCATCGATTTACCTGGTCAAAGGCTTGCAAGTACAATCCTACAAACATTAGAACAATTTGATATTGACTGCTCATTTTCAGTTGGTCAAGGATATGACGGCGCATCGGCAATGAGTGGGGCATACACATGGTGTGCAGGCATGTATCCGCAAAAAATATCATTGTGCACTGTATGTGCATTGCTCTTCGCATTCGCTTAATCTTGCAATATCAGACTCATGTGACGTAGCGCATATAAGAATTTGTATGGGAACAATAAATTAAATTGCAGTATTTTTTAATACCCCCATAAGGCTTAATGCATTTAAGTCGCATATTCATAAAGTGCCCATAGAATCAAAAAAAGAAAAGTTAAAAAAGTTGTGTAACACCTGATGGGTTGAGAGACACGATGCCATAATGGCTTTCCTGGAGTTGCATAAAGTTACTGTCGCCGCTCTTTCCGAAATTCAGCTATGGAGAGATAAAGATTCTTCCTCTGACGCATTTTCCTGTTTAAAGTCCATCCAAACCTCAGAATTTCAATTTTCACTAATTATTACAAAAATATTCGTCATTACGCTGGCTTTTTCGAAACAACTGCAGACTACCAATGTAAATCTAGAACAGGCCTTAGATTCGGCTGACAATGTTCAAAACAGGCTTTTATATATCAGGGATAGGGCGGAAAATGAGTTCAAGCAAAATTTTTAAAGATGTTGAAACTTCCTGTAGAGAAATGAATATAGAGATAGCTCTTCCAAGAACAAATTCTCGTCAAACTCAAAGGGTCAATGTTCTAGCTGAGATGCCTGAAGAATATTTTAGAAGAGCATATTTTATACTTTTTGTCGATTCTAGCATTAGCCATTTTAAAGAGAGGTTATTAAAGCACAAAAACATTGTACAAGGATTTGAAGTACTTTTACCAAATAAACACTTTTATGAAGATGGCCTATAGAAACTGTATGATTTTTATGGACACTTTATGGAAGCTTGCAGCTTCGAAACTGTACTCGGCAAAGTAAAACTTTGGCGTCAGCCTTCAGATGATCTGGAAAATCCCCCACAAAATGCTTTAAGCTGCTTAACATTCCTTTTCGAAAACGACAAGTACGAATATTTTCCTAATGTTGCTGCTTTGTTACAAATATATGTCAGAATACCACTAACGACAGCGTCAAACGAACGCACCTTGTCGACGTTGCGGCGAGTAAAGACATACTCAAGAAATATACGTACATTAAGCCAGGATCGACTAAATGAATTGTCTTTACTTATATTCACCGAGAAGTTTCTGTTTCCGCGGTAGAAGTTATAGATGAATTCGCAAAGTCTACACGAAAACTTTTGTTATAAAGTGACTGATGACCCAAAAAAAATATTTGTTATTAGTTAACTCCTAAAAGGATGTTACTTATTTTTATTTTAAACTGTGTTTTAATGCTACTTTAGTCATTTGACCAAGGAATATATTTTTAGTTCAAATAAACATTACTTTGTTACTTATCTTTATTTAAAACTGTGTTTTAATGCTACTTTTAGTCATTTTACAAAAGAATATGTTTTTTGTTCTAATAATCATTATTTGTTTATGGTCTTTTGTTTTATTTAATATAAGGGTCTTGAAACATTCAGAATTTACGAAATGGTGGGTGCGCCAGATTAATGCATCTTGTCTAGGCCACTTTTCATAGCTGTAAACCCCCCCAAGAAAGAAATTTCTGGCTACGCCACTGCCCAATGGCCCATCTTTGCCTGGTCAATCAAAACTTCATATGCTTAAAATTCTTTTTTATTGAACGACTGTGACCTTCGTCAAGTTCATTTGACATTTATTGACACTTCGTTCGTTTTCATTTTCATTTTCACATTCTTATACAGTGTTGAAACATGCTGAGCTTGCGCGAAGTCATCACTGTAATTTTAAGATCGCACCGCGACAGAGCAGCAAAACCCAGTGCCGTCCGGTACAGGTATATGTAAAAAACCTATAAAACGTCAAAAAAAACTATGAAATGTCATCTTGCAGACTAGGTAGTTTTTAGGGTGCAAACAGTCATTCTACGTTTGCTCACTAGGATCGTTGTGAGCGTCCATCTATGGAGGAATGACTCAACTACACGCATTGTTGGTTGCATACGTTTTGTGAAGTCGAGTGGTCTGTAGTTTTCATATCTGAGAAGAAAGTTGGTTGAATAGCAAGATCGCATCTGGATGATTATGTGTATAGGTCTGCATGTGTATAAAATCGTGATATTTGTTGTGTGAGAAAATCATTACTGAATATGCTGCCAATGAAGTATATCTATTAGCTGTGCTCGACGAGTTATTTGTGTTATGCTTTCTGAAGAGAGGTTATGTTCAAAGTTATAAATTACGAAAAACTGATTTCTAGCTTTGAATCTCAAGTAAGTGTATTTGAGACAAGAATCCAATGGAATTATCAAGACATACAACTTACAGCTTCGGCCTGCAGTAATGCCATCTCAGAAGCAGATTTTACATTACATCAGAGCCAAACATTGACAACTAAAGTCTCATTACGTTTAAGCAACATGTACAACTAAGTGCTAAGTACATAATGTCAAAAAAACAGTATAATGTCAAAAAAATATATAACGATATAACGTCACTTTTCAAGATACGCAATACCCGTGCGGGGTAGGCATCATGTAAAAAACATATAAAACGTCAAAAAAACCTATAAGATGTCATCTTGCAAACTAGGTAGTTTTTAGGGCGCAAACAGTCATTCCACGTTTGCTCACTAGGATCGTTGTGAACGTCCATCTATGGAGGAATTACTCAACTAAACTACACGCATTATAGGTTGCATATATTTTATGAGGCCAAATCGTCCTTGTCTGTAGTTTTTATCTCTGAGAAGAAAGTTGGTTGAATAGCAAGATCGCATCTGGATGATTATGTGTCTGCATGTTTGTGTATAAAATCAGTGATATTTGCTGTGCGAGAAAATCATTACTGAACCTACATAATGTAAAAAAACAGCATAATGTCAAAAAAAATCGGCATAATGTCACTTTTCAAGATACGTGATACCCGTGCCGTTCCCAAAAGGACGCTCAGCTTCCCAAAAGACTGTGGTAGTAACACACTGTATATAAATGAGAAAATTCAATTCAATTCAATTCATACACTTCAGTCTGTCCAATGGTCATTCATACTTATCATGCCATAGAGCTTACTACTACCTCAACCGGAAACCTAGCCTAAAGGAAGACATATATGTTGTACGGTCAAAAGAAGAGTTGATTAGGTTCAGGAACAAAGAATTTCTTGTTTCAGTTTTTAATATTTTTATTTCATGAGAACAGGTTAGAGCGAATTTTCGAAATGAATGCCTCCATTTCTGAGACATGCCCTATAACTCGTTCGCATTTGATCGGTTGTTGTCCGGAACCTCATATCTTCTTTCATCAGTTGAAATGCGGCTTCTATCCTCTGGATTAACACCTCTCTGCTAGACACCTCTGTCGCATACACTAATTCTTTCGCTCGCCCCCAGTCGTGAAAGTCCAAAGATCACAGGACTGGAGACCGTGGAAGCCAAGGAATAGGATCACCCCCACCAATCCACGCGTTTGGAAATGAGTTGTCCAAGAACTCTCGAACGGTAGGCTTATTACGTAAAAATTTCCAACTCTGATCGGTGAGCAACCGACCACCAACCGACTTGCGACCGATTGTCGACCGACCGAAAAATTCGTATTCGCTAACGCAATTGGCAACCGGTTGCCCAACTGTCATTGAATGCAGTTTTTGCGACCGAAACAGCGCCACTAGCAATCGAGTATCAACCGGTGGAATTAAAATGACATACGATGGTAAACAATCGTCGTGTTTATAAATTAAAAGACTTATCTCAACACAGAAAGAGCGATGCAAAATAACGCGAGGGTGAAAACAGATTATTTGTTTCTCAATCAATCAGCACTTGCTGGCACTTACCTATATAGTTCTAGGTGACTGCTTGTTCATTAAAGGCTGCAAATGCATCAGAAAACGTGAACATAGTGTTCATTTGTGTTTGAGATTTTGTCTGACTAGGAGGTGTTAATTTTTCAAAATGGAATATAGACTCAACATTGCAAATCGATGAGCTACTTGGCTTTGCAGAAATTCATCCTAATTTAGCTAAGGACAGTGTTGGGCTTGGAGGGAGATCATAGAAGACAATTAATAGAAAGTGGGACGAATTAGCGATATGTCTGAATACTCATGGATCTGGAGCTACAAAAAATGGACAATGCTGGGGAAGGGTGAGTTTATATTACATTTTGTTATTCATCCTTTTGTCATCGCTAATTCATAATTTTTATAATTGTGATGAATCATATTTTTCATCATTCATCAACCTTTGCTATGTTCATTATTCTGTTGTATCCCTCTTTTCATTAGATAAATTCAAAAAAGTTTTTGAACTTTTTCTAGAAGAAAAATGCAATGTTGATTAATAGAAAATTATCTTTAACAGTGTAATAACACAATTGTTCCCAAAGACTATGTTTTCACAATATTTTATCAAAAACTTTTTTATTTAAGTAAATTGAGAAACGATGACGTTTAACCATCTTTGCGGTAATTCAATTTTTATTGGACCTGACTTTATATGAAACACGTTTGTACTCAGATTATTTTCAAAAAACATGTATGTCCATTCATTGAAAAAGCGAAAACTGGTAGAAAATAGTTTGTTTAATTCAATTTATTTGTATTTTTCCAAATAGTTGCTACCATCTTTTAATATTTGCAAACGTAGTTTACACAGATTCCATGAGTAATTTTCTTGGATTAGTACCTACTGTAGGTTATAATAAGGCATTTTGTTCCATGTTCCATATGGTTTTATTCATATACTAATACAATAATACTTTTTAACAGTATTGGATAGACCTTAAACATAGGATACAATCTAGAGCTGCACAATACAGGCAGGATGCTACAGGTACTGGTGGAGGGTGCTGATCTTGATAACTTATCTGAAGTAGATATGGCCATATTGGGAACAGCAGCAGTATTTGGTGATACTGAACTTCAAATTCCATTTAGTGTAAGTACATAACTCCTGGATAAATTTAAATGGCATTAATATTAATTAATGAAAATCAGTTTATATTCTCTATCTCTATTGCCCACTTAATTAAACCACATTTAATTTGATTTTACTTCCTCCACATCATCTTCTAACTCTTGATCACAAGATAAAAATAAGTACAAAGTTCTGCTTCAAATGGAAAAAATACAAAATTTTAATTTAATTTTTCACTAGTGATGATCTTGTTTTAGAATGAAAAATTGCATATGAATTCAGTTTCTACTTGGTATTGCTTCATAACTTCAGACATTAATTAAAAGCTTTTTGATTTTCAGAACCAACTCCTTCATCTTCAGCTTTTGAGCCACCACCAGATATAGAATTACAAATAGCTATGCAGTGTGCAGAAGCCAGTTGTATGCAGGCAGAGACGGCATTAATGCAAATTTGGTCCAGCATCTCAAACCTACAAAAATGATTGAAATTCAGAAAGGATAAAGTATTTTTATGATTATTCTTTACTTGTGCGACCTAATCTTTGTCATTTTAATAAAAGATATTTGCACAAATCAATTTACTATATTATTCCTATTGCTGTTGTGTAACAGTGCGCTATTTTTTTGTGATAAAACCACTTCTCTGAAATCATTTCATAAAAATCACTGACATATTTTTTGTAATGGCACCTCCAATCCATAAATCATTTATAACTCTTAATACGGTAAAAATTTTGTCTCTCAACATATTTTTAAGACAATAAGATTTTTTTTATTGTATTTAAAATAATTGCTTTACAAATTGACGAAAACAAAATAGGAGTGTCATTAAAAAACTTATATTTGTAGAAATGCTTTTGATATATTTTTTAAAGAGTATTGGTCCTCATTAGAAATACATTTAGCGATTTGTACTAGTCTTCACCAGCGGCAAAGTTCTGGGCTGTTTGAGTGATTGTGGAACACCGAGTTTTTTTTTTGAAATTTTTACGATTGTGTTTAGTACCATTAACGCTTAAATTGATAAAAAAATTGTAGGTTCTATTACAAAAAGAAGGTCAGCGGTTTTATAACTATATTTTAAAAAGGCAGTGCTTTTTGTTACAAATGCATTTTGCAATTTTCTTGATCTTCGCTCAAAGCGTACTTTTAGGCTTGTTCCAAATCCTCTAAAATAGATATTGTTGAATATGGACATGTGAAAATAAACCTCCCTAGGAAACTAATTCTATAAACATTAACATTTTCTTTACACTGGTTGATAAAACATTTTTAAAGCATAGCTATCATTAAGCATAAGCATGTGACAATGAACATTATATCAATGAAAATTTTAAATGTTCGATACAGTACATACATAATAAAAATTTTATTACTCCTGTGCATCACCCTATGGTATTTCTGGTAAGACCGATTCTTAATGGATGTCCAGAGTCACCTGTAAAAATATATCTTTCATTATTACTCATCTTCAAGCAGGCATATAACAATAATTACAACTAAAGTAAAAAAAATCAAAGTAAATATTAGTGCTGAAATCAGTATGTTGCCTAAAATATGTGAAATATTAAGACTCGGATTTTTTGCTGTTTACTGTATTGTTAATCTTACAGATAATGAGTCTGAGGTATTGATCTCAGGATCGATGAATATTGACTTATTACTCTTGTTAATAGGAAATTTTAACTTCCACAGCGATGGAATTTTTATCAGGTAATGTAAACTTCCATGTGTTGAAAATTTTTGATGTAGCTGAACTCATTAGTTTCTCAGTTAATAATCCACCATACAATTTTGATATGCAATCTCACTTTCTTAATATGCATGGCAATATAATTACTATCATCTCTGAGCGAATAATATGCTTAGATAGGATGCCTGGATGATTTAATGCATAAACCACTTCGCTTAGTGCTTTGGATACACTAGGTTAACTGAGCCCATGTAAATAACCCATGTCAATATATTTCTGGCAGGAACCAGTGGCCAGCACCAGAAGTGCTGCTAATACCTAAAACCAATATGTTTCTATGTGGTAGGAAGGTGCAAGTAAGCTTATTTGATAATCATTATGAACTTCAAGTCATAGCTACTGAAAAAAATACGCCGTAGGCGAGAAGTTTGCCGTCTTTGAACGTGCATTCTTTCGCTTTCCAATGCTTGCATAAGCAAAAATGCACGAGCCATCCAGAGAATCAAAATTGCTGAAAATACAAATTGGGAGCATACAATCACTTCTTAGAGTCGACAAGCTATTTCATTCCTTATTTGAACTTGTTATTGTTACCTTTCATGTTAAAAAAATGAATATTCATCCAAACAAAACACTAGCAACTGATTAGCGACTGACTAGTCGACTACCACTGAGCAGTTGTTAATTTGACAGTTCAAATCGCTAGATGTTGCTGTGTTAGGTTGCTGTCAATGAGTTAGGGAATACCAATTTTTTGATACTCCTAACGAAAGAATGCACTGATAATGTAATAAGCCTGCGGGTTGTACATAATGTGCAGGGCAGCCGTCATGCTGGAAAACAATGGACGCATCGGGTAAAATTGCTAACAGCAAATCAGGCAACTCAGTCTGCTGGAATTAAAGATAATTCTCTCCATTTAACCGGTTCGGCAAAAAATATGGTCCTATCAGTGTTCGCCCCATTTTTTGAAATGACGACTGCCTTTTCTTGTGTGGGTTCTGGCCCCGGTCTGCCCAATAATAGAGGTTGTGTAGATTTACGATTCCGTAGTGGCTGAAGTTGCACTCATCCGTCCACAAGATCCTCTTTAAAAAATCTCCATCCTCCACATCGGTGTGAAGAATGAATCGGCAGAACTCCAGCCTTCTCGCGTTATCACCATCTTCCAGAACTATAACATATGCCTACGTTTAGTACAATTGCACAAATATCAAACTTGTTAAAATTAAGTTACCTTGAACATGCAATAATGAAACGGATGCTTCCTGTGTGCTTGTAAAACAGACCAGACTTTATACGCACACACAGCAAGTCTTTCGGCAACAACCAGAATACTTATGGTAGAGTCCGCATCAAGTGCTCTTAGGATTCTAGGCTCTTGAAAGGTTAAGTTTCCAGTCTGTCTCCGATACGTTGATGCGAAGGTCTCGTGATATATGGTAACCGCCGATCAGGATATCGCTGCTGGTAAAGTCTTTGGGCTTTACGTGAATTGCAGTTAGACATAGGCCAGCAACATATCAGTATATTCCTCGTTAGTGAAATTCAACACTGAGTCAGACACAACCACAACAGTTCAAACTTACAATAAAATGTGAAAAAACTAACAAGAAAAACCGAAATGACAACATCAAACAAAAATACACTTCTGATAGCAGAGGCAATCAAATCTCAAGTGACCCCAATCTGGTAATGCACTCTTTTATCTATGATAGGGTAGTAATTTAAAAGTACTTAACAGTTAAGGTCAGGTATGCCCCCACATAAAAGTTGATTTGAAGGTATAATGACTTGCGGTACCTGGATTAGGCATGCTTATGACAATGGGCATGCTAGTTGTCAATAAATATTAATTGAACTTGAAGAAAGTCACCGATGGGATCGAAACATCGTCCAATAAGAAATTTTTTAAACCTATGTGGTTTTGAACAGGTCAGACAAACTACAGGATAAGTTTCAGATGTTACATTAAACTGCTTAATGAAAACAAGCAGATTGACTCAGATAGTATTGTTACGACACACAAAATAGAAACCTAAACAAATGAAGCTCATGAATAATAAGGCTGGTGATCAAACTTCGTTCATCAATCAATAGTAAAAGCGAAACAAAATATTTTATAGTATTTTTCTTTGATTTACAACTAATGTTCTAGATAGTGTCATTACTTGAAACCATTCATCTTAATTTAAAACAGTTATAAAACTGTACAACAAAGTAATTCGTTGCATGTTCCCTAGTTATTTAGACAAAATCAAATATATCACATATCACCTCACATCAGTAGCGTAGCAAAGCTTAAACTCCTGGCTACATCATAGCTAAAGATAAAAAAAGGAAAGAACTCAGTTATCAAATTTAATAACAAAACATGAAAGGCCTGCTTGGCAGAAAATGTCCACTTTCAGCACAGACCTAGCTATTGGTATACTAAAACCAGTCTGG